TTCCAACAAAACGGCTATTTTTGATTCAGAAATATTGCTTGTTCTCATTGACGTTGTTAATCTAATGATTTAGTGTTATACTGTGCCTGCACGAGGTTTTTAGGTGGAACTATTTATTTACCGGCCTGACCTTTCGACTAAGCGTCTTCTTCAGAGGCCTTTGTTCCACCGTTCACGAATGATTCGTTACTGGTTGACTTATGGGATAGCGGATTTCCGCGTCTACGGTGGAACAAAGGCCTCTGAAGAAGACGATTAGTCGAAACGTCAGGCCGCTAAATAAATAGTTCCACCTAAAAACCTCGTGAGGCACAATATAACACTAAATTATTGATTTTAGAAACGAATTATTCTATCGGTTTTCAGTATGACTTATTGTCGTGAATGCATTTGATGTATGGGTCTAACTACAATTTAATATCTCGAGGCGTAGAAACCTGAGAGCTTTCTTTCTCGCAATTTGAAAAACAACTCGCAATCTGAGGTACAGTTTCTAGGGCACGTCACTTCGTAAACTCCTGACCGTTGCTATCAAAACGGGAATTATTTTTATTTTTTCCCAACCGAATTTCTTAATGTTGAACAACATTTTGGGCGAAGAGACGGTTACTAGAGCTAAATAAGCGTTTCTGTTCAAGACCAGGGGAAGGGGACTGGAGAGGGCGAACCAATTAGTTGATGGGAGAAGTGGTTTTCGTATTTTGTGAAAACTGGTTCGCCCACCTCATATTCATGATTCTCTGGAATGAGCGAAATATTGAGGAACTATCGTTTCCCTGAGGTTTTTGACAACCAGTCAAGGATTATCTTCTATGTTGTGGTGAACCATTCCAAGATCCTGTTCGTACAAGTGGGTAGTACTTTGTAGTATATCACTTGTATTACCTGTCGTCGCATTGAATCGAACTCCTCGAAGGGGTTCCAGTAGCAGCTCTGGTCCCTGTTGCGAGCCAGAGTGCCCAGTGGCTCAGCTCAAGGAAGACAAAGCTTTCATTTCTTTCAGTCAGGGACATTCGTCAAGAGGAC